TTTTGGTGGGGAGTACCTGGAATTCAATTCATGACCTTGCACTTGCCAGGCAGGCGCTGTGCCCCTGAGCTATAAGCCAGGCCTCACATAGATTTCTCATTACTGCTTGCTGCTTCCAAGCTCTGAGACTCCCGGCTGGCTAAATAAGCAGCAAGTAAGCCCGGTGATCTGAATTCCCCACAATTTTGCAGGATCTGTTGAAACTGAAAATGAATGCAAGGACCCTCTTAGAAATGGAGGCAGCAGCAATACTGTACCTTGTACATCCCCAAACTTTGGGTCTGCCTACAAGGAGCCACTTACAGGTCCATCAAGAGGGTGGACAGGCAAGGCAAGCCCTTTCTACTGTATGTGGAAGTTTAGGAACACTTAAAAGGCCATGAGATGGAGTAGAGTATTTTGGCAAGGGATGCATGCCCCACTGCTTTGTTGAATGAAAAAGCAGGGTGCCAGCTGGTTGTGATACAAGCCTATAATTCCAGTTCCTGGGAGGCTGAGGCAGGAGGATCCAAAATTGGAGCCTAGTTTCAGCAACTGAGCAACTTAATGAGACTCTGCCTCAAAATGAAAAAAATAAAAATAAAAATTGAAAGGACTGGGGCTGTAGTTCAATGTGAAGGCCGTGGTCAATGCTTTTTAACCACCCCCCCCACCTCCAAACATATGTGATCTAAGGAAAAACACACTAGATCAGTGCTTTTCAAGAGTGATGGCAGTCGAGGATGGCAGGAACATGCAGTGAGAGTGTGAGTGTGTCTGGCAGTTGGGTGTCTGGCAGGCGTGACTACCAGTGAGCAGGTACAACTTGTGTATAGTTTGCAACACTTAGATCATCTCATTACATCTTCATACAACACCAGGAAATCTAATTGAAGGCAGAGAGGTTAAAGAATTTGCCAAACGAAGATGATATCATAACAGAGACAAGAGTCCGAGGCTGCAGATGCCCAATGGGCTCGGCATCTCCACCTTCATTTCAGTTCTTTTGTACCTTAAAACTTTGGGACAGAGCCCTATTCAGCTCGGTGCAGCCAAGTGTTCTGTACAAGGGTTATTAGTCCTAAATTTGCATAACCCATCCCATCTATCTTCAAGGCCGGAGGGCATCCCTTCAAGCCTCTGGAGTGATTTTCGGGCTTTGGAGGGAAGTGTAATTTTTTCTGTAAAATTCCAAAGCTCTGTCAGCTCTTTCCAAGATAGATGTTGAACCTCTTTATCTGTACTACCCAGCCTGGCCATGTTGATTAAATCTCGAGTTATGGGACAAGAGGCCTTGTCTGGCCTGTTGGGATCCTAGGGGCCAGGGCTTTGGCCCCAAACTCCAGTACTAGAAGAGGAGAGACCCGGATTGACATGCAGGTAACGAGACCCGAAAGCCATGCTCTCGCTCATGATCCGGGTACCGCTTTTCATTATAAACAAGCCTCTGAAAACTTTTGATCCTGGATGTTGCCTCACCACGGATCCCATGACACTGTGTCAGCCAGGAGCGGTGAGCGCGCAGGAGCGCGTCCAGGCCCTGGAGCGCGGGTGCAGCGCTGAACCCCAGATCCGACGCACGCGGCCGGCATGCGGCAGGCGCGCCACGGGGGCCCTTCCGGCGCCCCAGGGGGACGCTGCTGATGAGACGCGGCCTCCCTCCCAGGTCGGCCGGCCCGGGCTGGGGCCCGAGAAGCGCTCCCTCGGTGCGGGGCGAGCCGGGCGGCGCCTCCTCCCGGGCGGGGGACGGACTGCGCCCGCGGGGCCGAGGGCGGGCCCAGG